GGGTTTTATAGCCTCAATTAGATTTTTATTATATGCATTAATAAAACTACGAACAGAGTACAATGGATCATTAAGATTTGGTGTCTCTAGTTCACATGGCATCATCAAAGTGTGATATGATAATATTTGTTCAAATCACGAAAGAGACATCCAACATTGAAAATTAAAAGAAACCATAGGTTTTGTAAGTTCTTTCGTTGCCCTCCAATAAAAACAACGATCAGCCACATCCAGTAGGACAAGAATGGAAAACACTTGCAGATGGTTCTACAAATATTATCATTCAATTAGAGCCCTGTGAAGATAAAGAAATAGAAAAAAAAAAACAATATGCTTTAGAATATGGCAGTACAACCACATATGCTTTACGTTTAGTATAACCGTGGTTCAGTAGTGGACGGACTTTAGTTGGTGATAGCTGGTTTGGTTCCCCAAAACTTTGTATAGCATTAATGCAGAATGGGCTATAGTATCTGTCATGTCAAAAAAAGGTGTGAGTGGCCTATCAATTATCCTAGTGATATGGTTCAAAAACTTGGAAGCGCATATGGATCTTATTTTTCAAAGGTTATAATGATTAATAATATACATTTAATCGCATCTTCTTTGAAAGATCGAAAGCCACAATGTATTATTGCAACTGCATCAACTACAACAATGGCTAATGAGGTTGAACGTGTAGTTAAAGGATGTGTTAACTCTTCATTAGTTAAATTTACACGGCCAAAAATTTTTTATGAATATTCTTGTTTTAAGGGGGCTGTTGATATTAATAACCAGGTGTGTAATTTTTTTTTAATTGCAGCATTGTTATTGTTACAATATTACTGTATGGTATTATAGTTATAATATTTTTATATTGTAACATGGTAATTATTACGGTTATGCAAAAACAATAATATAAATTAGCATTTTTCAAAATTGATTTTTTTTATACTAATAAGGTATTGATCATTAGGTGCGTGATAACATGACATCTTTTCATAATGTTATGCGCGGATCCAGTTGGCAGCTACGTGTATATGCTTTTTTGTTAGGAATTGCTAAGGCAAATGCTTTTTTAATATTTAAAAAATGGAATAAAGAAGCGAATAATACATCACATTTCGATTTTAGACGATTATTAGCAGATGAAATGGTTAGTAATATTTTTTCTGAGAATGAAGTTTTAATACCAAATACAAGAATGCAAAAACAAAAAAGAGAAACAGAGCTATCACACAAATTATTAACTTTTCCAAAAAAACAAAAATCTGGAAAAGGTACAATTTATCCGCAGTTACGTTGTATATATTGTGGTATAAGAACGAGATATCATTGTGCTTGTAATAAATCAAAAGCAATATGTATTAGCTGTTATAATAATCATATTTTGGAAATTTAAATATTTCAAAGTAATAAATAGGTTTTAAATAAATTGTGATTTTTTTTTAAGATCATTATTTTATATATTTACGAAGATAAATTTTTTTTTAGTTGTACTAAATTTAGTACAGCCAAAATTTAAAAAAATGATATTAGTTTGTAATTAGTTTATAAAAAATTTTTATTAATAATTATTGATAAAAATATTACAAAAATGTTAAGTTAGGTTTAAAAAATTAATTTGCAAATTTTGAATAAATTTAATTTTATATTTAATTCAAAAAAATTTTTTTACTGTGTACTAAATTTAGTATATTTGGTCTACGGATACCCATTAATTATTTTTTAAACTTTTAATTTGATTTAATTTATTTTTATTTTTTAAATTATTTTTTTGTATATTTAATTTAATTATTTTTTATTATTTCTTATATATTTTATTTAATTTAATTCAATATTTTTTATTTTTAATTTTTTAATTATTTATTTTTTTGTATTAAAATAAGATCTTGCTTATATCTTTATTAATTAATTTATATATGTAATTATATAATATAATAATTATATAAAAACTTAATTTGTATATAAACAAATAAATATAAATTATATACAAGAATAAAAGCTTAGACTAAAAGCTCAAACTAAAAACTAATTATTTGCAATCTAAACTTACTAGAGTAGTCAAGACTTATCTAGATTTGAATAGTTAGAATATTGTTAATAAATATGCTATATTTGATTTATTGAGTAGACTAAATATTAAGTTTAAGAGATGCTTGTTCTAGAAGAGAGCAAGTATTAAGTTCAGAGTATAGTTATTTAGCAAAACTACAAGGACAACTATAAGTATATTTAGTTTTGCTTTTTTTGTTTGAAGAGAGTAAAAACAAATTAGTTATTATATTAGAACTAGATTAAGAAAAAATTTAATATTTTTTTTATTAAGAGATGTTAATATAATATATTGTTATAAAAGGGTGTGGCGACTTAGTGAAGTGGTGGAGTTGACGCACCCCCAAACGGCAGGTTTAGAGTTCGAATCCCACGGATGATGATTTTGAAAAAAACTAGACTTGTATCGGTTAACGTTAAGATTATCGATTGGATCTAGATATCTGTAATCTTGGTTACACTATCTCGAATGGGAGCTTCGGCGCAATAAATCTAGGAAACCGGAATTACCGAAAACCCGTTTGGCAAGTCCCGAGTAG